GAAGTAGAAGCCAGAAGACATGGTGAAGACGGTGTGGGAAGGAGACAGAGAAGTAAAATATTCATTCACTCATTCATCCATTCAACAGCTACCAGTGGGTGTCTAATGCGATGAGTTTCTTCGTCAGGTGCTGGGGATACATAGAGCCGTCAGCAAGACAGCTCTTAAGTTAGAAGGAAAACACCAAAATAAACCCAGAGATAATGAAAGGAAATAAGAGCAAAAAATGATGAAATAGAAAACAAACCTATCGTGGAGAAGTCACCTAAGCCAAACACAGAGTCTTCAAAAGGACTATTAAATTGACAAACCGCAAATATCTTTTTCCTATAAATCACAATAGCATATTAAAAATAATAACAGAATTGGCAAACCACTAATGGAAATGAGCAAGGGAAAAAGAGAAAGAGGAGGAATGAGAGAAATTGTGATCAGTATCAGGCCGGGAAAGTGAATACTTCTGCAGACGCTATGATGCTTTAGGAAGTAAAGTGGTTGTTATTTTTTTTAAAGGTTTATTTTATTTATACAAGAGCCGGGGTGCAGCCCAGATGCGCGGGAGGGTGAGAGGACTCGCCAGAGACAGAGCGGGGCACAGAACAGGCCGGTTGTTATTTTAAAAAGTTATGCGCAAAAAGATATATGCTACCTAGAAGTCAAGTAAAATAAGATGTGAAGGGACCTATGGGGACACAGATGAAGGTGCAGCTAGCAGCTCTGACCTCCCTGCCAGTGTGTTCTCTGCCCCACATAAGGCCTCAGGGCCTCTGCCCTTCCAGGTGGAGGCCTTTGTCTTTCAAGGCTTAGCTCAGCTGGGAAGCCTCAGTGTATCTCAGACACAAACTAACAATAAATTCACTCAGGCTAGAGTACAAGATGCCAGTTTGTCATTCTGCAGCAGGGTCTGTCCCTAGTGCCTAGAATCTGCCACTTCATACAACTCAGCTACCCAAATAATTGTGCTTTTAGGACAAAATGGATGGATCTTGACATGCTTTTGCTAAGTGAAATAAGCCAGGAAGTGAAAGACAGCCATGGGGTGATTTCACTCATTTGCGGAATATAAATAACCAAAGAAATCAAACTGGCCTTACATTTTAATGTAAGCTCTCTGAGTATAATTTCTCTTTTACAAATTTGGGATAATAATATTACTGTGACGACTGAAGGCGTTCGTGCACATATAGAGATTAGAACAGTGCCTGGCACACACTAAGCATCCAATAAATTAATAAAAATCACAACTGCTACTACCTAAGAAGATGACTTTTACTCAGAAGATTGCATAGTGAATGTGGAACCAAAAAAGGGATCTGGAATGGTTTGGAGGGAGATTTTATTTTGCTCTGGGGAAGTCTAATAAAATGTCCCAGCTCCACAAAAGAGATCCCTCCCCCATTTCCTGAGCCTCTCTTCCCTGAACATGGCTGGGAAGCAGCAAACAGTTCTTATTTCTCTCATTTTTTTGAATTCTAATCTCACCCTTCCCACCCACCTGCCACTTGCAAATGTGTTGCTATAGTTGTAAACTCAAAGGAGCTTCTCAGTGCCCTGTAGCTCAATTTCAGATAAATTTTACAAAATCCGTTGTGCCTGGGTTGTGTTCCCCTTACTGCCTAACAGGCTACCTCAAGCCTAATGGCTTAAAACAGGGGTCAGCAAAACCATGTCTTTCTTCCTGTTTTTATACAGCCTGTGAGCAAAGAATGGTTGTTTTTGTTTTTTTTTTATGTTTTTAAAGAGTTGGAGAAATATCAGAAGCTGTATAGTATTTCATGACATATGAAAATTATATGCAATTCACATTTCAGTGTACGTCCAATTTGATTGCAACATGGCCACTCCCAGTCATTGATGTATTGCCCATGGCCGCTTTTGCACTCCAACAGAGTTGAATCATTGCAACAGAGACCTAATGGCCTCAGAGCCTAAAATATTTACTATCTTATCCCTTACAGAAGCAGCTTGCCAACCCCTGGCTTAAAACAACAGCGTTCATTTTTTTTCGCACACAAAACTACAACTTGAGCAGCAGTAGGTAAGATCAGGTTATCGCTGCTCCTTCTGGCAGCACATGGAGTGGCTCCCGCCATGAGTGAGGGCCACCTGGGGTGGGCACTGTCTAAAGTCCCGCTTGCTTGCTCGCTCACCTGTATGGCAGTAGGGTGGGGATAGGGGGTGCTGTCTGCCTGGACTTCAGCTGGAAGCTCTGGCTGCATCAACTACATCTGACCCCGCCATGAGGCTGCTTGGCTTCCTCACAGAATGGTGGCTGAGCTCCAAGAGCAAATGTCCCAAAAGACAGGAAGGAGAAACTGCCAGTTTCTTAAGACCTGGTCCCAGAAACTGGCACAGAGTCACTTCTACCATATTCTGTTGGCCAAGCTGTCACAGAGCCCAGAATCAAGGGGAGTGGACACAGAATCTGCCTCTCATAGGAAAGAGTGTCATAGAATCTGCAGCCATGCTTTAAACCTACCAGAGCAGTGAGGATTTGGAGGCACATAGCAGGGACTCAGTAAAGAGTAGCCGTTATGATTACTGCTCCTACTGTTGTGAATTAGCAGCACCGTCACCATCATTTCTGCTTAGGCTTTAAGGAAGCCTTTGTTCATGGGGCCAGGGAGGTCTCCTGTCTCCTTCCTAAGTGTTCATTCACATAGATTCATATTATAGCTGGTCTCGAGTAGCATGCAGACACCCCATTTTCTAAAGAACCTTGAGCACTGGAGCCATTCTACCATCTGCAAAGACCTCCAACTTTTCCCAACTCCCTTCCCCCTCCCACCCTCTCCGACGACCACAGTCAGCCTACACACAGAACTAGATATATTTTCCTGTGTGAAGACTTGAGGATGGACTCTGGCTCAGCTCTGATTTCCCTGCAGAGCCCAGATCAGGGCCTGAGGAGAGTATGGTCTCAAGTGATGCCAGTCAGGGTGACGTGCGTCAGAGGGTCCCAGGATTCCAGCCTCCAGTCAGGTCCATTCCCTGCAAACTCGAAGTGGCATGAGGTTGGGCCAGAGCAGAGTGCCTTTCTCTGGATTTTATCCAGCCTTCTAATCCCCCTCCTTTCCCTGCCCCTCCTTCCAGAACGGACAGTGTCTGGGACAACAGGTTGAAAGAAGCATGAGTTCAGAACAAAAAACCTGTCTGGTTGCCCTTTTCTTGGGCAGAGAAGCAGCACTGAATGGGGTCACTGGTTGTTCAGGGGGATGAAGAGTGGGTCTGGAAGGGATGAGTGTTGTCACCCAGCTTTGCTGGAAACGGCCCACACACAGCCCATGACCGGCCGTGTCACATGTGAAAAGCCTTTGCCTTGGGCCACATTCCATGCCAAAGCCTGGCCTCCAGATGCCAAGCTCCAGAGTCAGGGCCACCATCTGCCATGGCCCCCACCAAACCCCCCAGACTGCAGCCATGTGTTCTGTCACTGGGAGTTATAGGGACATATGGCCTGGCAGATATGCTGGCCCTGCCCCCCACCCCAGACTTCGACGAGGAGTTCAGAACTCAGAGCTGCTCATGGTGGGACGATGTTTGCGTGTCTGTCAGAGGAGAGGCCTGGCAACCTCTCATAAGCTGGGGCTTTGTGAAGTCACGGGCCTGGTCCCAGAAACTGGCACATCGGTCACACTGAGGAGAAACACTTCACCGTCATGCTCACCCCTGACCCTGGCCACAACAATGTGACCTCAGGCTGACCACAGTGTGGCCACACACTGACCCTGACACTGACTCAGACCCATTCCAAGACCAACTTCTGTTGCTAGCCACAAAGCTGACCCTGACCCTGGCTGCAAAACTGACCCTGACCCTGACAACAGACTGAACTCTGACTTCTTAATAGAGTTTGTGGAATGCACACTTCATTGTACAGCCTCAGGACCTACACTTGAATGTGGGTCAGGAGGAAGAAGGTCTGTCCCAGGTGACCCAGGGCAACCTGCTACAAGGAGGACCTGAGTGACCACTCCCAGGCAAGAAGAACCTTCTGGAACACCTGAAAGAACCACACAGTTGACTTGGTGTCTGGGCTCTTGCCCTGAAGTTCCTCACTAAGCAGGCCTTCTTCTCTCTGCTTACTCTAATCCTGCCAGGCCCAGCCCCACCTCCCAGAGGAAGCCATCAGACTGATCCACTTGGGTTTTCAAAGAGCTTTCACCCAGGATTCTCAAAACAAGGGCCCTCTAAGAGGGTCACCAGGTAGCTTCTATCCCTGACCTTCCAAAGAATAGTAGACACAAGACCTGTCCCTTGCTTCCCCTAACAAAATTCAAAATTCAGTGGGAACAAGTATAGACTTGTTTCAATAAGATTTTGCTGACTTGCATACATCCAGGAGAAGTCTGGAATCAGTTTGATTTTTGTAGGTAACTAATTCTCTCCCAATGACTCAGGAGAAGAGGGATCAGGCAAAAGGGGCAAGAATTCATTCCTTGGAACACTGAGTGGACAGAGCGGGGCAGAGGCTGGTTGAGGGGAGCCTGGTCATCTATCTCCCCACCTTTTTGCCACTCTATATTCTAAGTAAACCTACCCTCCCATGGTCACTGTGAGCCGCGATGTTCACTTTTCGCACAGCTGCTGTTCTCAGCGCTCTCCATCCCCCTTGTCTCATGGCCAGGGACAATTCCCATTCCCACATGGTGGCCAGGGGGCACTGCACATCTGAGCATCAGCTACACAGGGCATGTGTATAGTATACACATGGATGGGCCTACACATGCCTCTAAATGTGTGTGTGATTGTGTGTTTGCAAGTGTATGGGGGTGTATGTAGTTGGGTAGAGATGAACACGTGCATGTTTGGGGTGTGTGTGCACAGATTATGCAGATTGCACAGTGGTTGTGTCTACATGCTTGCCTTTGTGTGTGTGTGTGTGTGTGTGTGTGTGTGTGTGTTTTGAGAACATGCTGCTCTTCTGTCCCTGGCCAGCAATGTGCTTCTTTCTTGGTGGAACACTCTCAGTACCCACTCCTCTGTGTTTCCTGCAGTCCTTGCACTGGATGTGGCAGATCCTCAGCAAAATTTCAAGGCTTGGGTTCAGTTGGAGAAGATCCTGGGTCTCCTGAGTCTGCGGCCAGTAGCCTTGAAAGAGCCAGAAAACTATCAACAGGTCAGTACCCATGGGTAGCAGGGAGGAACAAGGGTACCAGGAGACTTTGGGAGACTTTGTGCCTCAAAGTTGTTATCCCAATGCCTAATCTAAGTTCCTGCCAGCACGTATCACCTGTAGCTAATATTGTCCTTCTGTCCCAAAACCCTGCCACAGAACCCGGGGCCCTCAGTATGCAAAGGCCTTGCTTCCCCACCCTACCATTAACTGCCAGGTCCACCAAGCTCACTCACCCTACACAGATGGCACACACACACACACACACACACACACACACACACACACACACACTCCTACAGAGAAAAGGAAGGGGAAACTTGTGTCATCTACCCCAAGGAAGTTCAGGTTTCCAACAGCCAGGATTCTGAGCAAGCCTGAGGGGAGAAGACAAAGAGCAACCTGAGAAAATATCCTGTCTGCCTGAGTTACATACTTCAAACTTTATCTCAGCCCTACCTACCCTCAAAGTGAAATCTGAAACTTCAGAAACTTCTTTGAGGTCTGCTGCACCCTGAAGCTAGGAAAGGTTGCTAGAGGGTGACCTGGGTCCCTCCGCTGGCTCTCAGGACCCACAGGGGCCTGGGATTCCAGCATATGGTCTCCTGCTCCAACCCACACTAACCCTCCTGCCAGGTGGGGAGAGAAGCAGAAAGCGAGGAATCCTGGGAAAGCATCCCGGTAAGGCTGAGGGATCCTGGAAAGGTGTGCATCGTCCTGGGAAGGGAATGAGGTACCCCGGGAAGGGAACAAGGCACCCTGGGAAGCTTGTGAAGCATTTTGGGATGAGCATGTGATTTGTGTCAAGTCTAAGCCGAACTGTTTATCAGCTGCATGACCTTCAGCAAAGTTTTCTTTAGTTTTCTTATCTAGTTCAATGAGATCATTTAAAATCCAAATTGGTGAACTTTTGGGAGTGAAAGTGACCCAATGAATTATACCCAGGCAACAGGTATGAACAACTTCAGGCAAAAAGGAACAGCCAATCATCCTGTTTCATCTGCAGTAGTGATGATAACGATGATGGACATCCAAAGGGACGCGCTCCTGATAGATTTTCAGACCTTCCCATTTTGGCCTTGAGCCAGGGACTGAGGGTGAAAGGAGGGAGAAAGGGCCAGAAGAAGCCCCTGACCTCCCAGTCCCTCTGTCCCTGGGGTGTCCTGCCTTCTCAGCCACCCTGCTCACCCCTGCATGCCCCCACTCTATGGCAGCCCCGATGCTTTTAGCAGTTGCTCAGTTTTATCTCCAGGGGAGTGCTAGGTTCAAAGATCAGATAAATTTTCTGGCAGTGGTAGGGCTGGTGGCTGGCTGCCAAGAGAGGGGGTGCCCTGCAGGCATGGGGTCAGCTGGGTTATTTTGACTCCTCAGCATGGGGTGAGGGGCCTTGGGAAGGAGAAATCTGCCCTGTGGAGGGAGATTTAGTCTGTAATGAGCTGGACTTGGCTTTTCCTTTCAGCTTGGAACAGGAGAAGGAGAAGGAGGAACCAGGCAAGGAGCTGGAAAAGGAAGGGGGAGAAGGAACTGGGGAAAAATAAACGCAGAGAAGAACCTATTTTAAAAGTCACTCTTTTTGGTTCCAGCTCTCCCCCTCCACACCCCAAAGCTCAGGCATTGGGCCACAGGGTGTGGTGACAAGGTGTGTGTGGTCGGTGACAGGAAACTCTTTGGCGTCCAGGGTAGTTGAGGTGAGGCCAGGTGGGGAGGGGGTAGGCGGCTCCAGTCAGATGTCACCACAGCCAGTCCCCTGCTTCACCACCCTTGAGGGCCACTGGAACTTTGTCTTCAAACTTTTTGATATTGACACCCATTTTGTGTCCCAACCCAGAAGACATAATTTCCCCCCAAAACACTTGCCCTTATTGAGTCAGCGCATCCTCTATTTTCAGCTCTACCCTTTTAGTCTTTTGATACTGACGGCAATTCATGGCCCGGTTTTCACAACCCACTAATGGGTCTTAGCCTGCGGCGCCGAAGGTCACTGCTCCAGACTAGTATTTCTCCAACCTTAATGAGCCTGCTTATAAACCAGCTGGGAGCTTGCTAAATGCAGATTCTGGTGCTGGAAGTCTCGGTGGAACCTGAGGCTGCATTTCTAAGAAGCTTCTGGGTCACGCAGTGGTGCTGGCTCTCAGGCCTTAGACCAAAGGCCCTAGACCATGACTTCCAGAACCCTACCAATTTCAGCAAAGGGGTTTGGAATCATGGATGAAAGGTGAAAGGGGGAGATGAAGGGTTACCCCACTGAAGCTGTCCATCACTCAGTCTCCAGGCAAGGCTGCAACTGAAACGCAGCAAAGGCGTGATGGTAGAGGATGGGAGCGAGGGGCCCTCCAGGAACCAGGTCTGAACTGCTCTGAGTGGCAAGCTAATCAAGGGTACAGCTAAAGACAGAAGAGAGAGGAAGGGGGAGGAGGAAGAAGTGGGAGAGAGAGGAGGGTAAAAGAGAGGGAGGGAAAGAAAGAAGGAAGAGAGGCAAAGGAGGAGGGAAGGAAACTTAAAAGTTTATAAGTAAGTTTGAGAACCTCACCCAGTGCTCGAATGTCACAAACTAAGATCCCTCACTGGAGATCTCGTGTTAACCAGGAAAATGCCCCTGGCTACTGTTCCATTATCCAGATAGAGCAGGGATGCTGACCTTGCCCATAGGTACTCCCCTTAGGAAATGCTGTGCCGCAGTCAATGAGGGCAGTAGGTGTAAAATAGAGCTCCAGAAAGCACTGACAGCAAGATCAGCCACAATGAGTCCCAAGGTCAAATACGTGATGAGAACGGGGCCCTGACCCCATAGGACTGATGTTCTTATAAGAAGAATAAGAGGCACCAGAGCTCTCTGTTTCTATGCACATTCTTACATGGACAGAAGGTACGTGACCACAGGGAGAGAGGCCTCACCAGAAACCAACCCTCACAGCACCCTTGATCTTGGATGTCTGGCCTCCAGACCTTTGAGAAAATAAATTTCAGTTGTTTAAGCCCCCAGTCTGTACTATTCTGAATGGCAGTCGCAGATAATACACCTGATCTAAGCACACATATGGGGAAATGCAGGATTAGAATCGTCCTCAGGACTCCCTTGAAATCCTAGGAGGCTGAACACTTTCATGTAGGTAGCAGAGGGTCTATGACCTCCACTCTGGAGGTTAGGAAACTAAAGTCTGCAATCATGAGGTGAGTTTGCCAGCTGGACAAAGCTGGATAGGCAGAATTCAAACTCAGCTCTGGTTGAATCGGAAGATAAGGCCCTACTGCCCAGAGATGGGGTCTACTGTACGTGATATGAAACCCCTCTCCAATGAATCGGGACCTTACTTCTAAAGTTTAAGACTGTGTGCTAAGAAAACTTGGTATTGATCAAAGTTTTCCCAAAGAAGCTTGATTCTAGAAGGGGACGCAGAGTTAGAAGTCACCTGGGATGAAACGGATATGATGGCTTGATGACAGCGGCCTAAGAATGAGGCTGAGGGCCCTCTATTACAGGGCAACCCCAAAGGGAGATGGGATGGCCCAGGTGTGAGTCCTCACCTGCATGTTTGAAAAAACTCAGGACAAGACCCAAGGGCAAGCACATAGAGAAATGTTAATAAAAGGTTTATCAACAGGGAAATGAAAAGAGGGGGAGCAGAGAGAGAGAGGTCAATTGGTCAATATTTCCTAAGGTAACACTGCCAGAGCTGGGGCCCAGGTACACCATGAAGGCAGGCAAAACCAAGGGCCCACAGACCCACTGTGTCTTCTTTATACCGAGCATGGCTGCTTAACTCCACCCTTAGTTCCCAGCAATGCCTCCTTCAAGAAGTCGAGTCATGGCAGATTCATGGCATGATGGGAGTTGTAAACCTTGGTGCCTGGGATCTCTTTGACATGGAGGTGAGGGGTGGAGTCCATAAAACATTAGTGGGTGGGGCTCATTCAGGACATGCTGTTCCCCCAAAACTACTATCAACCCAGATGGGAGCAGAGAGCCACTGTAGGTTCTCAAGCAGCAGGGGTGTGACATGTCTGAGTCAGTCTGGGTGTATGGAGTGCCGGGGAGGGGCCTGGACCCTGGATGCCTGGTTCCAGACCAGAAACAGAGTGGCCCTGCAGGGCTGGGACACAGAAGGAGTAGTTAGGCTCTCTTTGTCATTCTCCCCCCATGATCTTGCCACCTGGGGTAGAGAAGTAGGGCCCTGGTGACTGGTCGGATTTTCCAGGCCTTGACATTTAAAGCTGGTCCTGGCAGCCAGCCCGTCCCAAGCCTTCTGCTAGGGAAACTGACAATGAAGGGTGGAGGGCAGATGGAAAAACTATTTAAGGTATTAAATACACACACACACACACACACACACACACGCGCGCGCAGCTGGATGACTGCTAGGCAGGAGGGCATTCTCTCTGCTCCCCTTTTTTGCTCCCTGCAGGTAAGTAAACCCCAACTCAATGCTCTCTCAAGCCCTTACATCCTCCCAGAACCAACTTATTCAGCCCAAAATTGTCATTATATGTGGAGAGGGTAAGAGCTCTCAGGCAGGGTCCAGAGGGACTGACTGGAGCCAAACATGGCACCCACTGACTCCCCAAAAGATGGTAATTTGGCCCCTTTGGAACAATAATTCCAGGACTTGAGGAGTCCCAAGGCTCTTTAAGCTGCTTTGGGGGACCCAGCAGTGAGGGAGCCTACACCTCAGCATCATTATCCTCCCCTGAACTCCCATCCAAATGCTTCATCCCTTTAATACTTTAGGGCCCTTGTCTATTTATTTATTTATCAAAAGAGATCCATATCTCAAAACATCATCATCCTCGGGGTTGGTGAGAGGCGAGGGGAGCAGCGGGGCTGAGCCCCAGCGGGTTCTTCCATATTGCCTTGTAGGCATCAGAAACATGGTGGGGAAACAGGGGGAGGCGTGGCGGTCTCTACTTCACATGTGAGGTAGTTCCGTGATCTGAGGATGGCTTTCCCCTGGCACTATGCAAACCAAAGGCTGGAAATCATGAATTTACTTGCCTGGCTGGTGCACAATCAAAATCTCCCATCTCCCCTGGGGTAAGACCAATTCCAGCACCTGTTGGTTGCTGAGGGGGAGGCTTAACTAGGGCCTCCATGGCCCCACTGCAGAGCACGGGGCTCCTGGTTTATTCTAGAGAAGCAGCAGGGGAGCACCAGGACTGAGAGCCCACAGCAGAGGGTAGAGTCCTCTTGCCACCAGCTACTTACAACCTGCGCGAACCTGAGCAAGCTGCTCGGCTATTCTGCTTCTCATTTGTTGAATGCAGATAAATAAATACCCACCCTACAGGGTTATTGCGAGATGCAGTGAGGTTATGTTTGCACCCTTACAGCAATGACTTGTAAGTATACATAAGTGAACATTAAATAAATTCACTCGTTTGATGATGTCCCTGGGGTTGGTGCAAGTCAGTGGAACAGGAAGGGGGACTCTGCTTAGGGTGGATCTGAGTTCAGGTCTGGACGTTTCCCAGGACCTTGGGTTTGACCCTCTTCTGCCACACACTGGGTGATGATTTGGAATGGCAAACCCTGCAGGAAAGCCCGCTAGGATCACTGCGCAGCTTCCTGTACCCCTTTTCTGGACTCTTACATACTCTCCTTGTCCACCGCACACATAAAGAGGGGAACACTCACTCTGAGCAGATTCTCTCAGGGGGTCTCTGGGGATAGGGCACAGCCAGGGGCACAGGGCCAGAGATGCTGGGACCCTGCTGTGGCCACAACTCACTTCCCAGCCTGCCTCTCAGGGCCTCCCAGAGATCCCCAGCCTCCCTGGACTGCAGGCTCTGCTTCTCCACTCCTGGTCCGGCTGTAAGAGGCCACAGGGAGGAGCTGGAGTTTGGGGCCCTGGCTGAAGGCCTCAATGTCTTCCAGGTGTCGGGTAGGCCCAGATGGATGGGCAGGTGTGGGGAGGGCCAGAGCAGCTGCAGAGTGTCTGGAAGGCATTTGGGCAACTAATGAGCGCGGGATCTAATTAAAACATTGGAAGAAGAATCTGGGCAAAAGCCACGTGGAGCAGGAAGTGTAGGCCAGGGGCCTGCCTGGGCCTTGGCTAGTGGGAGGAGTGCCTGCTAAGGAGCAGAGGCTAAGGGGAAAGTCACCTCTAGCGCTGACCCCACCCTTCCCTGTCCCACCTTTTCCTCCAGGACCTAAATCTCTTAGATTCTAAAGTGACCAGTGACAATGATATCCTACTGCTGCTCCCTGCAAAGAGATCAGTTTCGAATTGAGGGCAAGGACTAAGGAGGAGCTTGGGGTGAAGACCAGGCCTTAGTCCAGCTATGTTCTAGCTATTCGCAAGGACTGGTGATGAGGAAACAGGTTCTACTGAAGAGAAATCTGGAAAAGTTTCACCAACCAGATACTCCACTCAAACTCCAAAAAGTAAACACCCAAGTGGAGCCAAGCTGAGGACATCTGGCTCTACCATTGTTACCCACCGCTGCAATCACATCATCGCCATTGGCACCCCCACGGTCACAAACATCAGGGCCACCATCATCATCAAACCCAATGAATGCTGGCCATCAACCCACTGTGCCCACGGGAAC